CCATAATCTGACGCCTGCGCGGTAGTAGTTTCATATAACATCCGGGCATCTCTCATCATAAGCTCACTGTTTGGATATGGCACGTGACCAAAGCGGTGAACATACAGAGCACTTGATAAACAGGTGCCAGCTGCAGATCTCCAACCAGTGTTCCGATGTTCTCTCCGCCATTTAGCCCGTCTGTTCTTGAACCAGGTCTGAAAAAAAATCATCTTTAATCACAATGTTGTCCTTGTGTACCCTCCTTTATCTATGGCACTATGGCTATCATTTAAGATATCATGGTAGGTGGATTGACAGTGTTTGGAAATCGCGCTCTTACGCTGGTGCCTTGAGAGTAAACCCCATCAAACTATACATTTTCTGAAAGCTTTTAAGCTTTTAAGCTATTAAAATAGTTATAGAATATAAGCAAATCTTTGAAATTTTCTAAAAAGTTGTTGTCGCAGTGATATTCAAAGAAATACGCAGAAACACCGTTTCGCTTAAACTGGTTCACTTCCGCGCGTGAATTATCCGAGCGGCGCGATTAACATCGGAAATGTTTTCTCACACATCGCCCTCAAAAAGGGTGTCGGCGATTTTCCAGATGTGGTTTGGTTTTTTTTTTTCTACGCCCTCCTAAAGTTTGATATTTTCAATGCGGACGTTTCCTTCCACAAAAGAGGCCATAACTTGGAAACGGAAGTGAAATTAAACAAAGCCCGACACCCTTTTTCGAAGGAGGTATCCTGGAACTTGCCTGCCGATTTTCAGCCAATTCCGTCGAAAGACGCGCGTAAACGAACTAAAAATGTTCATCCTTATATGCAGTTTTATTTTATCGAGAAAAAGACGAAAAACCTTATATGAGATTGGTATAATTAGGTGTTAAAAATCCCCTACCCACTGACAGATGTCGGCATGGGTCAGTTTACCACAACAATGGGTTATGACAACTTGAAATAAACAGACGTCTACAATTCTGGCGCGGAAACCCGTCGCAGTGAAATCGTCCGAGAAGCGACAAACCACCAAGAGCTTTATACAGGGCTGTATTTAAACTGCCGTGATTTCTTTCACTAAGAAGATTTCGTCGGCGGCATTGGTATTATGTTGCTCGAGTTTAGGCTTCCTTGATCTCCAGACAGTTTTTTAAAACCATGCCTCGTGAAGCCAAAAAGAGGAAATCTCGTGGTCTGCATCGTCTACATCTACATCTGCGCTTGACGCTCTCGTTTCAGAATCGCGTCCGATCTCCAGCAATTTCGTGCGACTAGCACTTGTTGTATTTTTTCCTTCAGCTTCATTAGCGGGACTAGTGTCCTCGAGTTCCTTCAACCATTCTTCTTGGTTACAGTGCGACCCACGGTCGTTCAGAGCCAAAGATCTTGTTCGACGCTGAACCTGTGGGTTCCACCAGATTTTCGCCTCGTTGGCTTCCTCGAAGACGAAAATGGGCAAGAAGGTTTCTTGCGTTTTCGTCCTGACATAAAGAAACTTTGACAAGAACGAAAGCTAACTTGAGATGAAACAACCAGATCGAGAACAGTTCGCGTGCCCAAATGAAATATCACACCGCAATTCGCATAAATGTGACAACTGGCGGTGAATTTTAATTAGAGGAGTAAGAGGTTAATGAGATTAAAAAATAGTTTTTCTCTTTATCTCAAAAAGTAAAAAAGCTTTTTTCTCCATTTTTTTGCAAAATATTTATCTCAGTCTTCTCAATTTGAACAGCAAAAAAAAAAAAAAAAGATTTTTCGCATTTTTCGCAAAAATCCACCTAGCATGATACTTTAATCGCGTGGTATTTTTCAGTGTCCCAGTGGTTCTCGGCCATTGGTAAAGCGTACTCACCGGCGATGTTAAAGTGATAATTCTAGGATAATTCGAATCTGACCGACTCTGTTTTTATTTTTAACTTTTTGTTTTTTAGTGTCTCTATACAGATACTCAAATTATTACTGTACGTACAACTACGAAGATCCTTTTCTCTTCCTTGAACAGATAACTTGAAACGCTTACTGCAGTTAAGTCCCTAGTTGCCGAAATCCATTCTCAAGCTGAGCCCTTCTTTGATTGACAAGTTCTCGAATTAAACCGCCACTTAAAAGGCTATGCAGCAGAGGGCAAATCAAAACGATCCATAACTGTTATCGTAACAAAGCACAAGCTTTTCTTAGTAATAAGCTATATGTCAACTTATCGAAAATACACAAAAAAATCGGCTTGCAACTCATGCTTCCTTCTGCACATAACGTCACCGCATTAACTCGTACCTGGGAATCGCGATTTGGAAAAAAAAGGTACGTCGGAACTCACAATGGCTTGGTAAAGTTCCAAATTGAATAAGCTTCTCTGTTTCGTAATGTGTTGACCGTGGTCAAACGACACATCAAAATTCGCAAAATTAGTTCGACGCTTTACTAAGTATCCTGCATAGTCACTTAATGTTTTGTGGCTCCGGTCTCATTATTATAAGGTCTTGATAACTCTAAATCTTTGCTTTGTCGAGGTTTTGGTGATCATCCATTTACTTTCTTCTCAACAGAATATTTCCAAAATTGTTGTATTTGAAAGCTTGCTAAATTTGCGCTGCCCTTTCTGATGGCACTAAGAGAAAATCAGATTAAATTTTAATCAACTGAACAAGAATTGTTTTAAAATTTGTCTAGATTACTAAATTTCAACTATTAGATCATACCAGAATGACTTCTTTAGGGATTCCAAGCTTCTGTGACAGTGATTGGCGTTTCCGGGGAGATATGTACTGTGATTGGTTGAATGCTTTTTCCAGTTCACCCCGCTGATAAGCGGTAAAATGGGTTCTCCTTCTGAAATTTACATCTTCCTGATGTTCAAGAATTTCTTGAGGCGGTGCCACTGCTAATGAGCAATAATTGATTAAAATAATGGATTAATTCTTGTAGCAAAGTGTAAAGAAGTAAATTTTCGTTCATTAACCATTGACGCATATTGTTAATTAAATCCTGATCCAAACCAATTGCCACTAATTGTTAGGATTTAAATACAGTTTTAGGGATTTAAATTGAAAATCTGAGTGATTGTTGACCAAACTCTGGGGGGAGCTCTAGTTGTAATCGTACTCTGAGAAGAAAAGAAAAATAGTTCGAAATAGCGGGGGTTCGCATTAATGCATTCGATGCGAAAATAACAATCAGTACTAATTACATGTAATTTGTAAATCAGCATAATGGAATCGAAAGTATTTTTCTAGTGGCCAATGCGAGGACCTGAAGATAACACATGAAGAGGAAGTTCATCACAATAAAAGATTAAAGTGCAAGCCTAAATTGTAGTTTTCCAGCTAATGATTGACCTATATTCTAACGTGGTCTGATGACGACATGATCACGGACGTTTTTTCAACTCTACCAATGGGCACGAAGTTCGAAATTAACGGGTTGATTTTAGGCCAAGGGAAACATAAATCAGTTCGAAATATCAAAAGAACCGAGTTTGAAATAGGCGATAGTGAAATACTGA